TGCCGTGACCAATTCAGGCTGGACATAAGATAGAACTTCTTCACTGTCCAAGCCCCCAAGTTTTGGAACAGACTGCTGCTGGAGGTGGTTCAAGCACCCACTTTGAATGCCTTCAAGACACATTTGGATGCTTATCTTGCTGGGATCCTATGATCCCTGACTTCCTGCCCCTCAGGCAGGGAGCTGGACTCGATGATCCTCCGGGGTCCCTTCCAGCCCAAATGTCTGTGAAATCTATGAATATTTACTATGCTAGTCTTGTTGCTTCTGGTTATACAAAGGAACAAAACCTCAAATGAATTTGTAGCGACTGTTCATGAGTTAAGTCAGGATACAAACCTTAACATAATTTTGTAGCCCTGAATCCATTCAGTGATGAGCAAGAACATAGGAAGCAGAGCTATCTATGGTAGAAAATTGCAATTTATCATACTGGACAAAGTAAAATGTCACATTATACCGTGGACAGAATCAGCTTTGCTGAGCCTTTCACAATAAGCGTGCTTTCATTTTATCAGCCACTGAGGGGGTAGGGAGGTACTATATATATGCTATGTAAACACAGGGAGGAACTAAAGAGAGATACATCGATCAATCCTAGTCTCTTCACCAAATATTAGATATTGTCCTGTCTGTACCTGCACTCTTATCCCATGGTAGACACAGAGCCAGAACAGTAACAGTGCACACAAGAACAATGACTGGAAGAAGTCATCTAGCATTCCAGGAAACCAACTGTTCACCAGAAAAGAGAGGGGGAAAAATGGATCTGTAACAGAATAAAAGGAAAAAAGTTAAACAAGAAAAAGATGCACCTTTTTCCATTATCAAAGGAAAACAGGTTTGAAGGTGGGGGGAGCGGCATGTAGCAGGGGCACATGCACCAGGGGGCAAGGTACAGGAGGCCAAGGGGCAGGGAGCACAGTTTAAGACAATCTCCAATTCTCTGCATGGGACACTGGAACAAAACTTTATAATTTTTCCACGTAGAGAATCTAATGATTGGAGAATTAAGAAGTTGGAGTCATCTTGGATTTGGGTAAATATGGTAAGTGGCATTATAGTTTGCTAACGCTGAAAGTTAATTATGAATACAGGCATCCCCAACAGTGAATTTCAACAGCAATCACCTAATGATTACCAGAGATTTCCAGGACACTTGTTACCTCTCAGCTCTGTGCTCTTGGGGAACCCTGGCACAGGACGCAGCCTGTCTGACTCACAAAGGACTCGCCCCTGCCCTCCCCACCTCTGCCTGAACAAGAACCGATTAGAGGAAGGACTTACAAAAGACAAGGAAAATGCAATGGAAGACATACTTAAACCCCTCCAGACAAGGTTCATAGGCGTGAAGCAACTCCCCTGGGTCTCACTTACATCAGAGACGGAACCAGATGACAACTCATTTAAATGGGAAATGGGACAGGCTTCACCTTCACTAGCATTCAGGATGGAGAACAGAGATTCCAAGGCACGGACCGCACTGAATGTTGGGATCAGAAAAGCAGGGGAGCACTGCATGATAGGGAATCCTTCCTCCAAATGCTAACCAACCCACATCTACACACACCCAGCTCAGCATTTATCACACCAATTTTAGTAATGACTCCTCTATTGGTACCCAAAACACTGAATCTGCTTGTCTGTATTATGAGCTCCCTCAGAGTAGTGCCATCCATAGTCAGGAGTGATCAGTTCCCATTATCCACCATATGAGCCAGTGTTTACCCCTAAGCAAACCTAGTGTTCTCCCTTCAGCCATTGCTAGTTCTCTACAAAAACACCTACCCAAGCTCAAGTTTCTGTCCTGGTGCTTGGATCCAAAAAGCTGCACCAATTCCACTCCTTTTCTGCCTGGCATCCCTTCATTGATCGTGCTGAGGGCTCTGCCTGTCTGCAAGCTCCAACAAACACCTGGGAACCTCGACTGGTTCAAGCTTCACTGAGTGGTGAGACCCCAACTCTGTCTCTCTCTGCCTCCAGGAACCTGACTTTTATTCTCTTACTCCAGGCACAGCTTTCTAAACCTGACTTCTGCTAATCAAACTTGAGCTAGACTTCCCCAGAAAGCCAACTGAAACTGTGTAATATTGTAACTGTTTGTTTATCTCTTGTATGACTAATCTACTGGTATCATCATAAGTTCATATACCTGGCCATAAATAACTTGTATGGTCAAGCTGGTTGCTACACTCTCTCTCTGAACCTCACTTACTCTTCCCCTTGACCTCCCTATTTGCTCTGCAGCAACGCTTCTTTTACCCAAGCCAAAGATCCCTGTAATGCCCAAAACTACGGTGGGGTCTGCTTATCAAGGGGGGTTACTACTGGGACCATTGTGACAAGAGATTGGGACGTGCTGAGTTTTGACACGCATGAGGATCAGCTGGAAGTGTTGATCAGACCCAGCCTGCTCAGATGTACTCTGTTAGCGTGTGTGTATGTGTATCTAACTGCATTTATTATTATCCTGCTGAAATAAGGGATGAACTGAGTTCAAGGCACATGAGGGCGTCCAGCCTGACTCAGATGCACTCTGTTAACCCACGTGCTTGTGTCCGACTGCATTTTATTGTTGCCCTGATGAACTGAGTTCAAGGCACATGAGGGTGTTAGCCTGTCAATGCTAAATAACCTGGCTTGGCTCAGGCATGCCCTGTTAATCTGTGCGTGTATGTGTGTTTGACTGATTTGGTGGCTGGAGGAACCCAGCCCCATTGAAACTGAGTCCTGCAAGATAGCCATTGGGGGTGAGGGGGCAAAGACCTCCACTGGGAGCGAGGACTTGCAGAAGGGAGAGATACAGCTCCATACAGAAACACAAGCATCACAAGCAGCACATTGATAGAATTACAAAGACCCCAGAAACATACCCCTAATAGGTGAGCACACCCCAAAGTGACGGGCAAATCTGGTAACAGAGTTCACATCTGCTACCAGACAACTGTTTCTTGCTAGTTGCCCAACAAGTGTCAGTGTAATTATGAAAGTAATTGGGAGCCAAATACTATTTTGATACCTGTTAGCAATCTTAGAATTTGGCTTGGTTTAACAAATTAGAAACTGAAAGCAGCCTTCACGCTTAATAAAGATGAAACTGCTATTTCAGCACCTCTAAAGAGTCACTTAAATGAAAAGGCTTAAATTAAACTACACACTGAAACATTACATTTAAAATCCAATATAGCTATAACTACTCATCTAATTCAGAATGCTAAACAGAAAACAAGATTTGTCTGAAAGACCAGTAGACGGTTTTCATTTCTTTCTGATTATCCCTTTGAGTCTCATTTGTATAAACAACAACAACCTTCTTTCAATATTTTTCAACTCCGTTAATGAGTTCTTGACTGAATTCTTATAAGCAGTTGCGTGAAGTTTAAATGGGCCAAGTTCATTTTTACGAGACCCTGTAAAAAAATATAGCATGTTTTAAAGTACCATTGTAAAGCAGTAACAGGGGTAGGAGGATGGACATCCATTTCTGTTCAATTCCCCAGTCTCTCATGGAGAATTTCCGGAGGGAATGTGCAAACAGGCACTGAAACACAAATTTAAAATTAAATTGACAAAGACCATGCTGTAACTTTAACAGAGGTAGCAGATTTTTTAGTATTATTAACAACATCACCTAACAGGGATGTGCTCTAATAGGCAGACTATGACACTGGAGTTCAGATGCTCAAAGTTTCATTTCTAGTTCCATTCATTTTATGATCTTGAACAAGTCACTTAACCTCTCAGGTAGTCTAAAATGGAAACCAGCTAACAGTGTAAGGCAGCAAAACATGCATGCTGCTGTCAAATTTCTATTTGGCCTTACTGGCACACACTGATATCTCCCATGTTAGTCCACCAACTACGCTCTATGACAGCAGTCTTAATAGCAGCCTTCAACTACCTGAAGGGAGGTTCGAAAGAGGATGGAGCCAGACTGTTATCAGTCGTGGCAGATGACAGAACAAGGAACAACGGTCTCACATTTGAGCAAGGGAAGTTTAGGTTAGATATCAGGAAGAATTCTCTCACTAGGAGGTTAGTAAAACACTGGAACAGGTTACCCAGAGAGGTGGTGGAAGCTTGTTCCTTTGAGGTTTTCAAAACCCGGCTAGACAAAGCTCTGGCTGGGATGATTTAGTTGCGGAGCAGTCCTGCTTTGAGCAGGGGATTGGACTAGATGACCTCCTGCTAGATGTACACCTTGCTGGGGTCGTTTGACCCCAGTACTCTTTCCTGCCATGGCAGGGGATCGGACTAGATGACCTACTCAGGTCCCTTCCAACCCTAGAAACTATGAAACCCTAACTTTCTATGATTTTATGAATATCAGTGACAGATCTGGTTATATACCACCTTCACTGCTACCTGCATGCCATGCACATATTTGCACTGTATTTTACTAAGTACCTAAGCAAACACAAACTACATGTGAAGTTACTTATGTATTTATTATAATCCAGTGATTTTTTTTCCATTATCTCCAAAATTCTTTAGTCTAGCTGATGTTTTTGGGGGGTTTTTTGTCCTCGGTCTCAGCCCCAAGGGGAAGAGGAGGGAGGCTGACAGGGAAGTGAGGAGAGGAAATAGGGGTCTGAGCCAAATTCTCTCTGCCATTCTGTGTTATACAAACACAGTAAGAAAAAAAATATGCTTTAACCATTCATTTATAATGCTTTCTTGCCCCTACTTAAACAAACAGGAATACATCTGAACTTTATCATTCACATAGAATTAACCCATTGAACTCCTTGCAAAAAATGACAAAAGGCACAAAACTCTGTTAAGTCTTTAAAATTTGTCTTGCACATGCACAATACTATGTGTTGCTAATGTCCAGTCACACCACCAAATGCAGTCCTAAGGGAGAGATGGAATACACAATCTTGACCCAACCATCCAAAAAAGTAAAAGACAGTACTCACCGTGACTATGAAAGTAAGAACCACAAATACAAATCGGAACCAAATTTCAACTTGTGAAAAATACGGATTGTAAGTTTTCCACTACAAGGCAATAAGAGACAACAAAGAAAATTAAAAGGAAGCTGAGAGCATTTGTATGACATCAAGAATGTGTAGTTCTTGTAGACAATAACGCATAAGAGTTTCTGCAAATGAACCCACTGACTTTCCCATGATGAAGTCATTATAAATCCCACTACCTCACACGGGAAAGTGGTAAACTAATTGTATGCCTCTTTTCCTGCAACCTCCATATTAAGTCAGCCGAAGCAGCCTAGCATCTTTTGTGCACAGAAAAATACCTCTTTGTGTTTGAAGGAACTTCAGCCATTGAGTCACATACAGGCTGCTTTAAACTAAGGAAAGGTTCATGAGCCTTAATTAGCACATTTGTTCTTTCTGTCTAGTTTTACCTCAGGAAGATCACTTCAAAAATAAAAAGTTCAAAGTGCTGGAAACATGACTACAGTTAAAGCAGCAAAAGCTCTCTCCTCACTTCTAATACTTTGTCTCACTTCCTGGGCATTACATTTAAAAAATAGTTCATTATTGCTATTTTGTAGTCCACACATTTTACATGAAATCAATATTGGAAAATGATCAATAACATTTACAAGCCCAGGCACAAAAGTCCACTCACTCCCACACATACTACCCCCTTCGTGTGATCTTGGGCAAGTTTTGTCAGCTCTGCCACTAGTCCTAATCTTTGCCTTCTCTAAAAAAAAAACCCATAAATTCTACAGAACAAGGGCTGTAAGTATGAAGCCCCACTGCATTAGGCACTGTACGATCTCAGGTGGGTCCACTATGTACTACTACAGTAAATATAGCAACATAAGGTGGACAAAATTGGCAGTTTCCTTGCTATGGGCTATGAAGCAAGATGATTACCAAAGCAATGCCATTTGTGTACTAAATGCTCCCCACACTTTACCAAACCAAATGTGAAGAGCATTCAGCAAAAACTAAAAATTAAAATGTTTGCCTTTATATTTTAGGCCTCTGCTAATTAGGTGCTGCAAAACGCAGACTAAAACATTCAGGAGGAACACTGCAGCACAGCCATCACAACCGAAGTGTATACAGAGCCCACGGCAGCTCAGAGTTTGTTTAGGTTCTTTGGGGGTTGGTTTACCAGTGCTGGGGTCTTATAGCACAGGCCAGTGAAGTCCTATTAACATTTTGTTTTTTCAAATCATCTTTAAGCAGCGTGTATTACACCATTTTCCTTAATTAGGCTGAATTTGGCCTATTTGCTTTACTTGTTTTACTGAAGAAAACATTTCCTTTTCAGGTCAACCTGCTTTTGTAAACTCTTGAAAAATCTTGCTAATCCCAATTTTTTTTATTTCTAACGTGTGGAAAAAGCTACTTTGTTAGGAGATGTAAGACCCCGATGTTCACCCCAACTTACCTATCTAAACCAGACCTTTTCTCATGAATGTATATCTGAACACTGAAAACATCTGAACATGGAAATGATAAAACAGAGTTTTTGATCTGCTGTTTGTGTAGCCCCTGAAAGGCTTGATCACTTCACAGCTATTTCTGAATGTTTGAACCCTAATTTCTGGGAAAAAGCCAAAAAAGAGTTCTGTTCATTCTTGTGTACTCAATATTTTTTAACGATGGACTTCACAGGCATAGATTTAGAATGGCTTAATGAACAAGTGTCCCCTGTCCCCACCGCTCAGAACTGTACTAGCTACAATCACATTTAAACAGGTGTTGCTACCGTGGTCCCAGTTTAGCTTGCCCAGCATTGAGAAAGATTTGTTCTCAAGAGAAGTGCTAAAGATAACATCTCTAATTAGGCATAGCTTAATAACCATTCTGACAAAAAAAAAGAATTTTTCCTCACACTTACTGGGGAAGCTGCACTATAACTTTGTTAATAGCATTCACTGAATGGTTTTGACCCAAGCATGAATCAAGAGCCTTACCTTAATACTTCCTCTGTGCAAGTGTTTCACTTTCAAAAGGAAACTATTTCAGTACAGTTAAAACAGACCTTCACAACAATAGCTAAAAATTAAAAGACTTTTTCCTCCTGGCCTAATATGTAACTTACTGTGAAACTGATGCTCAGGATCGGAACAATCAACTTCTCCAGACCCTCAAAACTAACCAATATGTTATACTGAGTGTAGTTCAGGTAGCCAAGATGAGCCACAATGATTTCATCACATTTCTGTGAATACAAAGTTAGAATAGCGTGCAAGTCACTGAACAAAGCTTTGACATCTAAAGACATACACATAGATGCAAGTCCGCCACAACAAGATGACCTGTGCTAACTGCAGCAGGCAAACTGAGTTATGCTAAAGCTTTGAGCCGTAGTCCAGGCCTTCCCAGAACTAAGCAACAAAACTGAATAGAGCGCCTTCTGTGCTACTGGGAGATGCAAGTGCTGAGACTGGGCAGTAGGCACACAAGGGGCAGCAGTTTCTCTGTAATGAATGTAACTGGCACAGTGCCAGGGGATTGGTGCACCATATAAGGAATGCCTGGGCACAAGGCCAAGGGATTGGACAATTTGGGATAAGAGAAGTTACAAAAGTAATGGACAAACAGAGGAACATGTGTGTTTTGTGTTGCCACCCTACAGAGACAGGAACAACCTTGGACTTCTTGTTTGAGGAATCCAAAACTAACATCCAGCACATCCAGCAGAGGATATGAGGCCAGTACCATTGAAGGTCGCTGCTGTAATGCCTGAAGGAACTGCTTGTCAGGTCATATTCCAAGGAAGAATACTTGTAATAAACCAGGGGGTTACTATTAAAAGTTCACTGGATATCAAATTGGACGAGGGGCTGTGTCAGTCCTTGGGGTCTCTGGTAAAAGGAATCTTAGGGGCAACACTAACAATGCAGAATTATAATAGTAGAACAAATATGAAGATACAAGATAGAGTCACAGAGAATTTGTTGAAGACTTGCACTTAAAGACCACAGCAACATTTCAAGGGAGGTTTGCCCTTCAGTCAAAATACAGGATTTTCTTACTAGAAAAGTAAAAGTATCTTAAGTTTAAGATCCCATTTTCCCTTTTGCTCCTTAAAAACAAAGTCAGAAGACAAAGAGACGTTTTTCTTTGACATGAGTAAAACCTGAAAGCTGTTTTTATATTATCAAATTTCAGATCTTTCATATCTTGAATTTTTCACTTTGGGACAGTTCTGAATGACAAGTGCCAAGAGATGGTTCAGCTCTGAAGTAGCATAAACCAGGGGTTATCACCTGGGGCTACTTAAGATGGCCCTAGGCAGGTGGGGATGAAGCACCACCACACAGCATCCCACAGTGCTGCGCAGGCACCGCCTGCCCAGCTGGACACAGGGTGGGGAAGCTCACATGCAGCAGCTACTGCTGCTCTGCGTCTGGCCACTTGCTGCCCCCCCTGCTCAGCAGCTGGGGTACAATGATGCCAAAAGGTTGAAAACCCCTGGTATAAACTATAGTTGAGGCCACAAGACAACTTTCTACCAGGGTATTTTAAAAGCTCTCTCTAAACCACAGTAGCACCAGGAAATCTTGCCAAGCTAAGCAGGTACATAAAATTAAGAGTAGGATTTTTGTTTGTTTGTTTAGGGGGAAGAGAAAGGAAGGAAGGAAGAGGAAGAGAGAGTGGCATCACCAAAATGAGTTACTTTGGGCGCATCTACACAGCACCGTACAGCAACTTTGCTATGGTGCCATACATTAGTACTTCCTTTTTGAAGTATTAAAGCACAGCGCAGTATGGGTGGTTACCGTGCCGTGTGTGTGGCACATGGGTAAATTTCATCACTATGGCTGTAATGGTGCATTATATCTGGGGAGCCCACTGCTACGGCAACATAGCTGGTGATTGTGTGTAGACGCACGTGATCGCTATGCTGCCATTGTGCGCCATAATGCAACACAGCGTGTCACTACATCACCATAGGGCAATATGTAGATGTGCCCTTTGAACCATATATGAAACTGGTTTCTTTCACCATCAGAGTATTCATTAGATCAGGAAAATTTGGCTGTTAAAAGGTGGTTTAGTACTCAGTCAAGGGCAAGTGCCTTGACATGTACAGAACAAAACAAACAAAAACCTAAGCACATAAGCAAGTAAATGATCTATCACCCCACCATCAGGAGTATGTTGAGTCTTTCTTACTCAATTTGTCATTTTACCCTACCTACATACTAAATAATTCTCTCTCCTGAGACGGTTTTTAACATAATTTCTTATGCCCTAGCCATATCCCCTCTGCCCACCAGACTACCAGCCAGGGTCACCCTGGGGTAGAGTGAAGCCCCCAGTGGGGTGTTTCTCCTTTTCTCCATGCCCACACAGAGCTGGGAGTGAGATGCCAAGCAAGTCCTATAGCCATGCCTCCCTCCCTTGGTCAGTGGGTAGGCTGATGATTTGGGGGGGGGGGGGGTGGAAACACCCACACCGCTGCCCAGAACCCCAGCTGGTATGTGCCCAGCACAGGCGGAGGGAAAGAGGAAGCCTGCAGCAGGGGCTTTACTCCCTCCACCAGAGCTGGGAACTTGGCCGATCACCCAGCCACACCCCCTCCTGGGTGACTAGGCCAGCTGAGGTGGTAGTGGTGGGGGAAGGCTCTCCGCCCCCAGCTCTGGACTGTGCCTGGCAGTGGTTGGGGGAGGAGGGGCAGTAAGTCCGCAGTGGGGGCTTTACTTCCCCGACCCGAGCCAGGAGCCTGGCCAATCCACCCAGCCGAGGAGGGGTGGGGCTGGGGGAAACCGGCCTGGCTCCTGGCTGCAGGAGATGGAAAAGCCCTGTCTGACAGCTGGGAGCAGGGCCAGCCCTGCTCTGCTACAGCAGAGAGCACAGCCCTGGGCTGCACAGCATCCTAGGATGCTGGAGGACTGCGAGTTAACTTCAAGGTCAGGAGGGGATCTGGGACAGAACTTCCATAAACTGGTTTGCCCTAAATCAGTTAAGTCTGATATTACATCCATCCAGGTTTATCTTAAAACAGTTTTGGCCATTTTGAAAGCTGTTTAAGTGCACTAAAAACTTCAGTTCTGTCACAGGTTTTACCCATTCCCCATCACTTAAACCAGTTTGTGTGCAACTTCTTTCCCTAGCCAGTGGGTGAAATTCCTGTAAGTACTTAAGTGACTAGGAGCATAAGACATATTGCTAGGGTTTTATGTCATATTGTCACACTTTAGAAATTTTCACCCAGTCACCTTTTTATTCTCTTTACATTTTTTTAGATAGGAACACTAATCTAACCACTAAGAAGCAGTAGCCCACTGACTCATACCACAAACATTCAGAAAGCCCCCAGCTGAAAGACAGAATAACCAAGCAGAAGGTAGGAGCTCATTTTCCAACACATTCAGATTTAATAGACAGGGAATTATCCACACCATCTTTCATTCAAATCTTCCAAAAAAACTAGCTGGAAGACACAGAGGGAGATTTGTGGAGAATTAACATCAGCCGAGCTTGGGATTACAGATCATGACAGGGCGAGTCTTGTATTCACCCAAACCTTTGTACTTTGGCATCTCTTAAATAAATGGTATCCATTATGAAGGAATGAAAAAGACAAAGAGGAAAAATTAAATGCATTAGTCTAAGCTGCCTAGTTAAGACGATTAAAATCTAATCAATATTTGTAGACTTTCTTAAATAAAGCCAGCAGAGTCAGGGCTCCAGAATATTTCACTTATGATATGTAGCCTCCCCTGTGTAATTAAGTTTTCACCAGCAAGATTTCTCTTGAAAACAGAAAAGTAGTGTGGTGTTAGCTCTTCAAGTCAAACTCAGTAATGCAAATTTTAAATAATGAAACAAAAAGAAAAGTTATGCTAGAATTTCAATAACTTGAATGAAAAAATATTTTTAAAAAAAAAAAACTCTGCTTCAGGACAAAGCAGAAACTATTGTACAGTGTTCTAGTTCTTTCATTTAGACTCGGCAATCATAACACTGAAAAAATGGGCCAGTAGCAGCTGTGTTCAACAGGTGTGGCCGGATAAATGTTACCAGTTTCCCAGCATGAATGACAGCTCTAATCGTGTTAACAACCTGAAAATACCTGTTATGGTTTCGTTATCAAGGGACTCGAAGTCACGGCACACTGCTGAAGGAAACCCTGTTTGAATCTTACAACACATCACCTTCCTGCAGAGAGTTACAACTAGGAACAAGTTCTTACTTCCATTTTCTTCCTATGACTTCCTCGTGTATGCTTCTGATCTACAATGATTTAATACATGCACATGCAGTTTTAGAAGAACAAGCTCTGCAGTCAGTGTTTTGTCTCAAAAAGCACCTACCCGAGCACAGTTGAGTTGCCTTGTTCGATTATGAACTTGGTTATTTTTGTATCGTGTGCTTGCATCCTTTGTTACACCGTGTATTTTAATTGACAGAGTAATGTTAATTTTGAAGCGAGATTCTATAATTAAAAGATGAAGATGTTAGACTGTTGTACAGATTCAGGGGGAAAAAAAAAAATCTCAAATAAGAGTTACAATGCTCCATAATCCCAGCAGCCAACTCAATTATATTTTGTCACAGTAGAGAAGAAAGAAAATCCTGCCTTCCTTCAGTGGGAATTATTTTGGCCAACACAAGTTAGCAATAACTAATAATCTAGTCTAAGAATCTCTGAGATTCAATCTAGCATCAGTACAGTATAATATCTACCAGTCTAACTCTATCAAGAGGAAGCAAGAGGCATACACCCTGGCTATTACTGATTTATGAAAAGCAAAGAACAAAATTCTAACACTTAGGAAAGCAACAGCTGCAAGAAGCTTTAACTAACTCAAGACAAGCTCTGTACCATTCACCTTTCCTCTGACAGGTGGGCTCCCTCCCCTCTGCCCCCTAGTTTTACAATTCAAAACTAAAAAGGATAATGTATATTACAGGTAGGTGAAATTACAGCTACAACATATATTATCATCTTATCATATCAGTAATCGGAAATAAACTAGACAAGGCACTTACCATAAGGTGGATCCAGTTCAACAACACAGGTTAGCCATAGTTGTTGATTATAAGTGGATAATGGTTGTGAATTTAATGGATATGACTTCAGCTGGGAAAATAAATTTAAAAAAAAAAAAGAGGTAATTTAGTCGGTAATTCTGTTGCACTAATAGTCTGTACATGTAGTATATAAAGACTTTGGCTATTTTTCCATTCTGACAGAAAAGGTTGGGTTTTTTTGAGAAAATTAAGTGCCAGTTCCCTTTAAGCCATTTCACTTTAACAATACATGCAGTTTGTGTCACATGGAAGATACAAATACTTAAAGCAACATCACGCCAACACTGCCTAAAGCAAATAAAGGCAGCAGTAATAAAAACAGGCAAAGAGCCCAAATCTAAACAGGAAATGTGTAGTGCTGCATTTTCAGAGCAAATATCAACAGTGATTTATTTCTACCCCTATATATCAAAAGACATTTTTGGCAATTAAATTGCAACAACATTTTAAGCCACTTCAACTTAGCATCAAAAAGGGCAATCACTTTTCTCTGAATAGATTACATTTTCAAAACTATGGAAAAGAGTGGAAAGATAATAATTACAATAAGGAGCACAGTGTATAGTGGTAGGATACTGCTTCTCTTACACTTACCTCAGCTGAATGTAATAAATATGTAGTTTTAGAAAAAATGTTTTCAATTCTCAAAAAATCCAAATATACATACATGGATGGCAATTTAAAAAACACCAATATTGCAGCCCATTAATAAATATAATTTTATGTTTTACAAAAAAAGATTTTAACAAATCAGTCATCTCAGCATCTGAAGTGAAGCAGATGATGGCCGTAAGTGTGGAAAACTTAAGAGGTGAATATGTAGGAAAGGTGCCTCAAATTAAGGAATGTGAAGACACACTTCAGACCTCTGGTTTACTTTGTTTACAATCACCCAGGGGAGCAAAAAAAACCCAATTCCTTCCCAGCAGCCAGAAAAGAAAGTTAGAAATTAGAAGATTTAGTCCCAAAAGAAGGCCGATTTTCTTTTCTGCTCTTAGTTTCCACTTCCTCTCTCTTAAGGATTCACATCATGCTGTTCTTCCTTGAACAAAGATGCAAGAATTACCAAGGGAATCCTATCAATACCTTACTTTGCTCGGTCAAAGTCTGGTGCAGAGCAACACTATCCAATTCACATGCCAATGAGGTAAGCAGTCTTGTAAAAGGTGTAACTAGGCTGTGGTGGATTCATGCTGGGTCATTCAAGAGGCAGTACAGAGCATTTATCAGGGCAAACTCTCAGCTAGTAAAGTTTGAATTATGTTGCAAAAAATGGAAGACATAACATCACACCAGAAATTTCCTTTTTAAAAACTTGAACTGTATAAGCAGCTGTATGAAATTTTAATGTGATTTTTAATAAACAAAAACATCAGTGCCTGCCATGCAGCACAATTATGCCATGTAATTCTTACCTTTGAGCTGTTAGTCAATTCAGATGTTGTTGTGGTCTTGATTACATTAGGACCTATATGATATTCAAAAAGAGAGGGGAGAGGGCAGTAATGAAATAAGTGCATAAATAATGATATAGTAGCCTGAAGTAATTTAGTTTCAAAATTTCACATATGGCATAAATATTAGTTACCAAGCACCCTGTGAAGCAAGCAAATGTTATCCCACTTGATAGACAAACTCAAGAACAAGTCACTGAAGTGCAGAATCTTAGAGGTATTCAGGTGCCGAACTCTCCTTTGTACCCAATTACCTGTATGGATCTGCGCCTTATTCTGTGCAAGGTCACACAGCAATTAAGCCATAGCATTCAGGAGTCCCCAGGCCTAAATCCTTACTCTAACAATAACAAGTTATAAACAAGTCACTATTTTACTCAAAGTAAGGATTAATCACAGTAGCGACTGCAGCACAATACAGACAAAACCAATGATATTTTATGGGATGAGCAGTGGACTTACTCATCTTGGTCTGTTCAAGTGAAATTATCTGTGCATATACCTGGGATTATATTTGAAATTATGTTTATTTACATACAGCATATGAGTCATTTAAATAGCAAACAAAGTATAACAGAATTACACGATAAAACCAATTATACATGCAAGAGAAGAAACCTGAAGTTAATTTGTAGAAGCTATGGTCTGGAAAGGCAGAAGAAAAACAAAAAAATTCAGAACAGAGAGCGAGCATTCTAAAGATGACGTATGAAACCGATGTTACACGTCACCTATACATCATATATACATTTATAGATATAAATTAATATATATCTATACAGAGAGACAGCTCACTCATGAGAAAGACCACAGTAATACTGAACAATGATACTGTAGTAGTAGTAATACTGCAGTACTGCCCAGCTTTCTGAAGACCCCCTACATTTTATAAGATTATGTGAAATAATAAAGTGTTCTATTTTAAATGTTATAAAAGCAAAACCCACCAAGTTCAAATATATAAGAGATTCAAATTGCAGTACAGCCTCATTTGCACGCACCAATAATTGTAATACCTATTCTGGATTATTAGATTTCTTCAAATTAGCAAATAAGTAGACAAAGATATCAGGGAATTGCACTGGAAAGGGTACTCAATTTTGTGAAGAGTAAGAAAGTTAATTATGTGGGACCTTGTTAGACTCAACTGGTCAGCATACTGGAGAACTCTGAAGTACTACAAAAGCAATGAGCTCTATCTTACGAAGCAACGAAAACATTTTCTTCTGTCATATACCCAAGTTTTTAGATCAATGACAAAACATTAGCAAGACTGTTCTATAGTCAAGGTCTATAGTCAATATATGACATCTGAACAGTTTTTTAAACAACAGACTGATGAAGTGTTGATCAAGTAATTCAAAAATAATGGTGAATAAACTATTTTACTGACAAAGTACTTTAACACTGTACCCTCAGTCTCAGTTAGAGTGGAAGTGTACTTTACACAGGCAACATGTACTTGGGTGGGTCAACCAGAGCAACTGGACTCCAGCACACACAGACAAGCACAGAAAGCAAGCTCAGCAACATTCATAGACAACCTGCATCTCCCTGGCACTCAACACTATCTCTGAAGAGCAAAGAACATGCTATGGAAAATAGGAAGAGAAAGAGTGCACCTTGACAAAAGTAAGCACGCAAATAGGAAAGCAGCAACCATCTTAGATCCCAGTACTGCACGCAGAGATGCCCGATGCATGGATAAGGGTGTACAAATAAGAGAGCAGACATACCCAGGTCTCTCTCCTTTGAGTCTGCGTAGGGAGTTATGTAAGTTTTCCCAATGCCATTTTTTTTTTTGACTAGCAAACACTGGTGTACTTCACATAACCCTTTACCCAGATGAGGGAGCACAGAGTGGAATATTAAACAAACTGATAAGAAACCTCACAGTTGGAAGTTCCCCAAGTATCCCTTACTCCTTCTACATGTAGATACTCATACATACACCCAAGCAAAGAACTATGGGGGAAGACTTACTATAAGTAGGATTCTCCAGCCTCACGTTTGTGTGGGGGGTGGGGGGGAAGCGTACAGAGGGGGAGCTGATGGACTTTAGGCACATACAATTTTTTCATATGCTTTGAAGGGACATCTGGGAGAAAGAACCGAAATGCATTTGTTTGCAAAAAGGAAAAAAAATGCCTATTTCCTAAACAGTGGGGTTACTCAGGAACAAGCAGCTAGGTTTAGTTTTGCTCCTTTTTCAAAATCAAAAATGCAAAAAAAACCTACTTTTAAGAATCGGAAAGACTACAACAGACCTTTCTAAATAAGTCAGGTCAAATCTTGCTTCTTGCATAATCAATTGCTTCAGCAGATAAGTTTGTTGATGGAGAATGGACCCAAGTCATCATTACGCAGATTCACAGTGTTAAAAAAAAAGTTCTCTCAAGAGGATAAGAGTCACAAAGTACTGCTGATTCTGATCAAAAAGCAAAGGTCAGTTCCGTAATTCCAACAAAGCACAAAACTATGCATTGCTTACAACAGCAGAACTAAATGAGATGGGGAGTCCATATCACAAGATCTACACGTAAGTAGATACAATGCAACATGTCACTAACCACTCTGTAAGGAGTGGGCACTTCATTAGAATGAAACAGCTCAATTCTCACTTTTATGAGAGCATTGTTCTTGCCCAATTATGAGCAGAATTCTACTGTCACGTGCCAGAAGTGCATGCAGTGCCAATAACAGAAACTAGCTCAGTTATTTAACCAAGTGAGAAACTGCTCCAATGAAACCATTAGTCTTGCTTAAAATTACATCTTAATGAATGATCAGCTAAAAATACATGTACATGAAACATTTTAAGAGTCAAGCACTTCCCTCAGATTCCCCTGGGCAGTTCACACCAGCATCAACAGTGTGCACAACTGTGATATCAATTTGTTTGCATCCTAAAATCTCAGGATCAGTTTAAAATGGCCAAGTCAGTTCTCTTTTACGGCTGACTTTTATTGTTTTAGGTTTTAGTGACAATGAACCATCCCATGGGAGCTGGAATACCCAAGCTGTTGGGTCCAATTAACGACCAACTATTTCAGACTTCTGACAGGGGGAGCGTATGTAAGCCAAGGTAATTTCTAAGGGGAAGGACTGACAGGAAGAGGCAAAATTTGAAAAGGGAGTGAGGGAGTCAACTGTATCACCAGTGTACAAATGGAAAAACTGAGGCAAAAAAATAAATTTAAGATTTTGTGCTAAAAAGCAATGTGTAAAACTGGCACGTTCTGGACAGATTTGTCAATGCATGTTCATTTATTACTGCAAAGTATTTACTATTGTTAACCCTGCTGAAGCAGGCAACCCCCAGCACATGTACTAGATCATGGCATGTGAAGACATTTTACTTGGCACACCAGCCCTCAGCATGGATGGTGTGGGAGTTGCAAGGGGCCCAATCCTTCTTGTGGCAGCACAGCCCCAGCCCCTTTCCTGCTGTCTACCCCAAGGCACATGTGCACCTGCTGCCAGCAATGAGCCAGCCTGGGGCTCTGCGGACCCCAGTACAGCTGCTTGCAGCCTCCCCACTGCCTGATGCGAGCGGGCTCTGCAGTGGGTGGCAAGGACCTGCCCAGAGGTCAGGCCTGTTGTGCTGTCCAACTTGGTACATTACACCAGGGTGGACAGTGGGGAAGGGGCCGGGGCTGTGCTGCTACAAAAAGGATCAGTCCCCTCACAGTTCCCCTGCCATCCCCTCTTGGTACACCAACATCTTACAAGTAGATGTTGTGATTTATTTGGCACTGCCCCAAAATGTCTTTCAAAGGAATACTAAGGAAAAGCTTAGCCATGAACGGAACCAAATTTTCCACTTCCCAATGCTGTGCTTTAAACAACAGATCATGTGTTGCCTTTTTACTCCCAAAACATGTTAGTATTTTATTCATTGTATTTAATTGGAAGGGCAAGGCTTAAACAATTTCCTGCCCAGCTAATCTTAAACATGCTTGTTACTTAATTAAAATCTACCCTGGTGTAGGAACTAAGGTTAAGTAAACCTAATCAATACACATTGAAAGGAAAAAGCTGCAAATAGCAGATACAGATTTGCAACAATGTACTCTACACACACCCCCAGATATGAAACGCTAGCCTCATTAAAACACATCTATGAGAGTAAATTTTTTGAACTTATAAAAAAAAATTAATAAAATAAAAACCGTTTTTAAATGACAACCTTACCTACAATTCCAATGAAGATTGTCAAACCAAAGCAAATAAAGAATACAACAAAGACTAGGACAAAGTGCCGCTTGGACAGCGTGTATAGCCGCATTGGTGCCAACCTGGAGGGAACAAATAAAAGCACAAATTATTAATCAGTGGTGGTTTGTATAAAAATGGAATAAAACAGTTTTTCCTCAATAAAAGCATTATAAACAATTTCCAGTGCAAAGAAGCCACCAGGCAGACTGTTTTACTGGGGTAGTATAAATTCTTTCAAGCCACGCGCATTTGGAAAAAAAAACAAAAACACAAAACAAAACAAACTTTACAAAAGTTACTATTCTTTTTTCTGCATTTTTATTGTCAAGATGCAAATATGAGTTAGTGTCTCTTCTAGCTTAGAAAGGGTGTATGTTATACATTCTAGCTCAGCTATCTGCAATGTAAAGGACCCGTGAAGGTTATTATGAGGTTATCATACGTGGTTTGAAGATAAAGCTCAAGTGGCATGTGTCATCATCATAAAACTTACACACATTTATGTGGTCTTAATCAGTCTTCTGTGTAAACATGTTCTTGAACTTAATCACTATAGTCAGGGGTCTACCGAACTTGAGGAGGTACCTGGCTGTTCATGGGGAGATTGTGGGGCCACTCCTTTTTGTTTCCTGCCGGCAGGCTGGGCAGCCAGACCACAGAGCCATGAGGAGTACTGGGGCTCCTTCTAGGGAGCCAGTATTTTACTTTCAGTAAGTTTTACTTTTTTCCCCTCCTGTGGATTTCCCAGGCATTGCCAGATTTCAGAGGCAGTGCTGGGTTTCACACTTTCCACAAAATTGCAATTTCAGTAGGTTTCCACCCACAGCAGGATGAGATACAACACCAGACCCTAATTCTGCCTGCATCCAGCTGCATGGAATACAGACATGAATTCTGTTATATCCCATCAAGGTTTGCAACCAACTAAAAATGATAATGCTTATGTACAGGATATATAAATCACCAACTACCTTGGAAATCTAATCCAGCACAGCAAGACGCAGCATTTTAGTCAGGGTGATGTATGTATCCATATGTAAGCAGCACAATCTTGGGTTTTAGACTTAAGTTAATATTACGGCATTTTAAATAGAAAGGTAGTATAAAAGTGTGTTACAGCAGACACTCCCCAACTGTTCTGCAAGCCCCTCCAGAGCAAAGCTGGAAAGCTTCTGCCCCAGTTCATCAGAGCACTTGCTGGAAAAGAGGTTTCCAACCTGCATTCCTTATTCATAGGGCTACAGCATCAGGGGACAATGAGACAGGACAGTACAGTATTGGATACATCTTTCTGAAGCAGATAGCTGCCAGTTATTTTAAACATCTTAGTGGTCTACTACAAGAGGTAAAAACCTATATATACAACATGCCCTTTTGCTGCTCTTTGCACGTTTGGTGGGGGTTGGTACAATTTGAGAATGGATAAAAAGCATTGAACAAATGCACCTGAAATTCAGCATCAAGGTACTTGTGACAGAAAGCTTGGCTAGCCCCCAGATGGTTTCAGTCTTTTGCATATTGCAGTCCCACTAGGAACTGCAAGTAGCCCCCAAATTGTTTCAGTCATTTGCATACCACAGGAAGAACGGGAAGTTAATGTTGTCCTTAAAACAAAACAAAACAGCATCAAACATGTTACTGGCATGAAAACAAAGAGGCTTAAGACTTTTAAAAGCCATATAACAGCCTTCCCCATAAGCTTTCACAAGAACAATTTTTCACTCACTGGCAGTAGTATTCACACCCCCTGTATGGCTGCTCTTAGTATCATAGAAGTAAAGGCATCCCTCTGCACAGCTCAGATCTTTGACCAGAGGGAGCCAGGATCATCTGGAAGCCTGCCAAGGAGACTCCCTGGACTGCCCCCAGCTTTGGGAGAGGCAGGCTTGACAAAGGGCAGAGATAGAGAACAGCTGGCCACATTCTACCCCGCAAATAGTTTTGTTTAAGCAAGGAGGCAGCAATTCATAGAACTTGCAGTCTTTCAGACTACCAAGTACTATATAAATATAAGATCATTAAAACATGGCCCCAAGGTGTGAAGTTTTAAACACCTGAATCCAACTCACTCCTGTGGGGGCGGGGATTAGGGAATGAAAAGGGGTGGGAAAATAAAAAATAAGCCTGTATAAGCACAATGCTTAAGGTAGAAATGCAGAAGCTAACAGAGCTGCAAGTGAGTCACTGTCCACAGTACAAGTTTGCAAAAACTGGCTTTACAGGATAATCATGGTAGCACCCTGCAAACACAGCCCAGGTTCTCGTGGTGTGACAGTGCCGTAAGACATAAACACAGGAGAAAACACCTGGCTGACTGACTATACAGAAGTAACACTCTCCACAGGTCTGTAACATGCACAAATAAAAACAGATCAGAAAAAAATAATTCCAATGCATCTGTTTCACAAATTTTCATTCTAGGCACACATTTTTCAGAAAGTGCTATTTTTCTGTAGGCCATGCCCCTTTATATTAAAAATATCAAAGGAAACTTCCTCCTTTAGACTAAGAGCTTATCTACACAGCTTCTATTATAATTTAACTTGGCCAGTTTATGCCAAGCACCAAGTACAGATACATTTATACCAGTACAAAACTGTTCATCTTGTTAGATTTCCTCAGTATTTATAAATAAGTGACACAATACATTTCTTTTGCATGATTTTCTGAGAGCTCTTTCATTTCTATATATTTTCTATATTTTATTTAGGAATGACACACACAGGGTATTTTTTGAATGGCACTGGGAAAGTCACAAATACCTATCTTGGTGGCAACAATCTATCTTGAGAAGGCATCCCAGCAGGAAGCACCAAATGGGATTTTGACAGGGAGCCCAGAGGCACAGAAATCTAAGAAGGTTGAGCAGCTGTCCCTGGAACTATCCCATGAATTAGGATAACCCAATCTGACACCGCAGCTTAGTAAGTAACCATCCCATATGTAACGAGTATTTTGTGGGACAGTGGCTGAAGGGAGGCAAGTGGCCAGAGATTTCATAGAAGTTGCTGCCTGCTGTGCAACAGGATAGTCTAGCTGTCATGCTGCTAGATGCAAATTCCTTAAAAACCGAGGTGAACAAGGTCATGGGGTTAGTTCACTTTAGCTGAACCAGCTTGGACTATCCCTGTCCTGGGCTCACATACCTGAGACGGAGGAACGGGGAGAAGACCCATCGGAAAAGAACATTCTCTCCCACCCACACACCCCCAGTCATATTTTGCTGTCCTCAAACTAGGGATGCTGTCCTTGAACAGGGCAGTTATTAGTAGGTCACTCTATGGGGATTAAGCTAACTTAAAGGTAACCCTTTGCATCCCTCTTAGCCAATCCTTCTTTCTCCGGGAACCAGGAAGGTGGAAAGGAGAAGGGACCACCACAGGACCAAAGCTAGGTTCAACACACCATCTTTTGCAAACTCTCTAATGCTGCCATGTTTATCCATGACAGACTGAATCCCTTAGGCATTTTTACACATGTTCTGGGGATGGGGGAAGAAGGAGTGCACTAATTAAAGCAGCTGCAACATTTGGTGCATCAGTGCCCCCATGCTTCAAAATGGTGGAGGAGTGCTTTGAGTTCAACATGCAGAAGCTGCTGGGGGCACACTAATTGGCACGCTGTAATTACAGTGTGTTGGAGCAGCCTCCCCACATGTCTACAGGCACGCCTTGATGTTAAGTGAACAGTTTCTGCCTCTTTCCTCAATCTAAATAGCATCCCTCCCCCGCATCCCTCAGTATAAAAACTAAACGGACACTTATCCTTTTACATGCCACACCCCTTTATTCAGCCTGCAGTCTAGAAAACTCTTATTTTTTTCTGGTCTGGACACCATGCCAGAAATCTGCAAGGAGACTGTTCCTTCCTCCTGCCTGTACCAAACGGAGGCTCTGATGCTGAGCAGAGCGCTTGCAGGAGAGCACCAGCAGGATGCACTGGCAGGATAGCCAAAGGCATTTGCTTTGGGACAGCTGGAGGGTATCTGTGAACCACAAGGCTTTGTTCTCTTTCAGCTGCTACAGTTCCCTGTCCCCTTCCCTTCCTACTGAGTGCAAAAAGGAGGGTGCTGGCCACTCCTCATTTCTGCATTGCCAGTCAAAAGGTTATGGGGTTTTTTTAATTCAAAGCACCTTGCCCAGGGGGCCAGCTCCCCACCATCTCACTACTAGGAGCTAGGAAGCAGAGATGTTGGTTGTGGCTGTGTTGGCCTAAGGACCAGGTTCTTTGGGTAGATGTGGTATCTTTTATTAGACCAACTAAGAATTTGAAAAAAAGTTCTTTGCAAGCTTTTGGGCACAAACACCCATCGTCAGGCACAGGGAGACTGCTGCCATTATGTTCTCCAAGGTAGAAAAGAAGCAAATTTACAACAAGCATATCTGGAGTATCAGATGTCAGGCAGGTTGTAATGTATCATAAATCCAAAGTCAATATTAAGTCCATGATTTTTTGTATCCAGTAGATAGTAGGAACCAGAGATGGTGCAGGATTCCTAAGCTTTCTATGTTATTCCTGCAAAGGTTTCCTGTGAATGGCCAAACTCAGTACATGCCGAGTTTGGGCCGTTTTTTTTTTTCTTAAACAAACTTCACGTTCCCTTCTACTATGCTAACCCCTCCCCACCCCATTTTTGCTACATGACTTGGCCAGCCACACAAACACACACTAAGAAGTCATGGAGTAGGAAAAGGACCAAAACTTATGTACAGGAAAGATATTACAGCATTTATAACCATTCTATCTGCCTGTTAACTTGCCATGGGGCTACTGCAGTAATTCTAGGAACTTTTGTTCAGTTAAGTGCCCAAAGCCATAATATATCACTGCCCCCAGCACTCAGCAGGCCACAGCGGCAGCGAGGAGCAAGTGGAACACAGGAACACAGCACAATCAATCCAGTGCATACTCATGCTCCTTATGATGCCATGGTCAGTGCCAAACAGTTATTTTTTTTACTATTGATGGAAAACAAACAGGTGCTTGAAAACAGCTGACACTCCACCCCTTCAGCTGCAAAAGCTTCTCCCAATCTAGGACATGTCAGCCTTCCCTGCTGGTTCTGTAATTCTGTGGCCCA